AACTAACTCAAGTGTGCATGCTCTTGGTCCTTTTCAGTCAAAATCAGTACACCAGTGTGTACTGATACTGTTAATTCAGTAATTTTTATCTTAGAAAAGATACAGGCTTGCCCACTGCAAAAGTGGACTGTGAAATGACAACATCTGGCAGAGAGGAAGTAACAAACAGCCAGGGACAGCAATGCCCCTTGCCAGCCCCACTGTGAGGGGCTCCAAGTATATTTGAGGATTTTAAAGCTTATGATTACTCCAATTAATTTATATTTGCTGCAATTTGTACTTAGCAATGCACAGAAAAGCTGAGCATATCCCTAGCAGACATGTCCTCTGGATCAACTTTTCTTTTATTTAAATTGCTGTAGGTCAGAACAGGCTCCACTTGAGTTAATAAAAGTGCTCATCAGTCAGAAGAAAAATTAGGACACACCTGGTTGAGCTCCTGACTTGTTTTTCTTCTTTCAGGAACAAAAGTCAATCCAAATAGTTATAAATAACAGAGAAATTATATAATGTAGTTGTTAAGCTGTCACAGTTTTGATATATTAGGAAGAATTTGTGCAAAATTATTGTCAGAGAAAATCTGAAGTGATGGCTCAGAATTTTTCTCTCTGACTTAAATTATATTCTCTTAGCATTTCTCAAGAGGTAGCGTCTGGGACAGCTCCTGACTGTTCAAATGGTGAGAAGCAGGGCTATATAAGGAAAAGGAAATCTGATGGCCAGAGAAGAGCACACATAAGGTCTAGGATTTCAGGATGGTTTGAAGAACCTCAGCCTGGGTCCAGTTCTTATTTTTGCCAAACCATAATGTCAGACACACCTTCTCTCCATATCAGTGTACTTGAAATCTGGATCCAGCTCTGCATTTCTGTGATCCAAATACTGTATTAATTTAGTTTGTGTATTAGATTGGAAAGGCACATACACCTGAACTGCAGTCACAGCATTTTTGTGTGTTTGCAGTTAAAAACTTAGAGGACTGTTTTGTACCTTAAATTTAAGTTTGAAGTAATCCCTATTTTGAAATAGTAATGAAAAGCATGGAAAGTTTTTAGGGTCAAATTGAACAGTTCTGATGAAACTGCAGCCTAGTCCCTTCTCTTTGATTTTCATGCCTTAAGATTTAGGTGAATGACATGTTGAAAGCCTGATAAAATATATAATTTGCAAAGATATGTTTTAAAGATATGAAAGCCTATCCCAGACCCAGAACAGTCGGATATGAAATTAAGACAATGTAAAATCACTGACCTTCACAGGATAACTGTAATCTGGTCTCAATTTTACTGACATAGTACATTGGAGCTTGCTGCAAAAGAAAATATATGTTTACTTATAATATATTCTTATATTTGTGAAAAAAAAAAAAGTTCACCACAGCAAAATGGTCACAAAGAATTTTCCACAGAAACATATTTTAAAGCATCACCTCAAGACCCAGCTTGCTTGAATGTATTGCTTTTTCTTTTCCAGACCACTCCATCTGATAAGTAAGAAGCTGGGGCAATGCAGCAATCTCAGCTACATCACCAGTTCTGCTTGGTTCAGTGAAACTGGACCATGCAGGTGTGATTTTACACACACTGCTCAAGCTAGACATTTGTGTGGTACTTGTGGTAACCAAAAGTAGGGGATCACACAAATTAACAGGCATGTGATAAGACTATTTTATTTTTATTCACCTGTTCTGCTTTCACTGAGAGTCCCTACAGTGCTCTCTTGAGTAATCCTGCTCTGAACTCAGTCTCACTGCTTGCAGGACCAGAGCCCACACCTTTGGGACTCTTGGCACTGTGGTGGACTTTATGCTTAGCTGCCCTTCCCGTGAGCAAATGGCAGAAAGCCGCTGTGCTTCTGTGTTCATCATTGTTTTGAACTGGGAGAGGTCAGCAACAAGCTGAGAGCCCAGAGCTCATCTCATGCTAGTACCACTCATTTCCTATTTTGTCTGGCAGCAGCAGTCACTACAAATGAGGAAACAGCAACTTGGATGTATAGGGGAGAAATAACAGTTCTTTCCACCCTGCAGACACTGCTGGTGCTGGCTGGCTTTTTTTCATATGCCTACAAACCGCTGACATGGAAAGCACCTGGTAGAACAGCACAGAGCAACATTTCCAGCTGACTGTCCTTCCTGTGTGTGCCTTAAAACCCTGGTGCAACCTGAATGTTCTCCTTCCCAGGACTGTCACAAAGCGAGAGCCAGCGCTAGGAGCTTTTCCCTGTGTGAGTCTTTACGTAGCAGCCCTACTCTTCATTTTAGTTCCAGCTGTGAGCACACAGGGACTGGTGAGTGCAGCTGGTGGATAAATGGCAGCAGATGTGAATGTCTCCTGTACACCCACTTTTAACCATTATGCAGTTTAAAAGCTGGTAGGATGGATTGGGAAACTTTAGGAAATACACCAGAGAAGAGGTCCTCAGCATTATTCCTAATTAGAGACATAAATAGGTCAAATATTACCATTTTTTTTTGCAGCAGCACTATGTTCTCTTTGGCCACAGTTAGTAACTTTGCTTGGGGAAAACACCTGCTCCTACTTCACGTCTTGTGGGTTGGTTACAAAACTTCCTTTTCTCAAGTTCTTTGCAAAAGGCAGCTGGCAGTGGTGAGTACTGAGCCAGCCGCTCACCTCCCGCTACCTCGCACTGGTGCTGCAGCCCCGGAGCCTCATCCAGCTCCTCTTTCACCAGTGACAGTCAGAAGTGGAGCACTCCTGGTTCAAAGCAGTTAGAGAGGCTGTGGGGGCCAAACACATAAAAAATGGCAGCAAAATGATTTATTATTAACTTGAATTTCAAAGAAGTCTAAGCCAAGCCCTGCTATGCTCTTGAAGCTTAAAGTGAAGGGCAGATTTTCTAATGCTGTGCCAATAACCACCTTTTCAGGGCAATAAAGGTCAAGTACCTCCTGAAGGTTTACATCACTCTCCTTAGCAGTGCTACAAACTCGGACTTTCATGTGTACTTGAATCACCAGACTTTTTCTAAGGATCCTTGTAACACAGAAAATGTTCCCCTTGTTGCAGGAAGCATACATTTAAAGCAAACATTCATGGTCTGAACTGATCCTTTGTTTTAAAACAGCGCCTTGATTTTTTACCTCACTTTTTCTCTGTAGCTTTTAGAAAACTTTCTGCCATAAACTAAAATCAAGATGATTATTAATTGAAATCTATTCTCTGCTCAAGCATTAATGACTCAGGTGTGGTATAATTTGCTGTTGCCTCCTGGACTTTCTATGGAAATGACTGATCTGTACTTTTCTTCTTTGTCACTAAACTGAGCTTGGAACTAGGCTGTAAGATTGATATTTTGGCTTGATTAATTGAAGGGGACAGATCAGCAGTGATGGCCAGATGCAGCTCCAAACTGCTATGGAGCTCCAGGTCATGGCCTTAATGCACGTTACACTGTCAGTTTGATGGGATCCAACCCATTCCATATTCCTCCCTGCCCATTAATGACTATACACAGTATTAACTCCAGTCTTTAGTGCTGCTGGCATCACCACCCAGCCCTTAGTAGCTTTCAGATAAATGGTACTGTGTGCTGCCTTCCAAAATCTGTCAACCATGGAAGCGTCTGAAGAAGCAAGAGGGTGGCTGTGCCCAGCAGTTTTCTTCTGTGGTTATAATAGCAGCAGCACTCTTGGTAGCTTGTGCTAAGGCCTCATCCACATACGATGCGGTCCCAGTGGGAACATGGTCTCCACAGACACAACGCCAAAAAGAAAGCTCATTTTGCCACTACGTAAGCAGGGCCTCTCTCCTGCCCAAGTTTCTGTGTGTACTCATAAGACTTGGTGTGGTTCATTTTAAGGGCACTTACCTACAATTTTGTTGTAATTCACGTGTTTGGAATTTTCCACTCAGAAATTAGATGAAATTAGGCCCCTACAGCTGTGGATGGGCCATGGCTCCAGGGCACTTTCAACTGCACAGGCTGCCCTTTGGATTTAATAGCCCCTGCTGGCTTTTGGCTGGGCATTGAGAAACTTGGCATTTATGGGAAGCAAATGACTAACCTCACCTGCAGTTCGGTGGTCCCTGAGACACCATTTCGTAAGAGCAACTTGATAGTGTGAGTCAGAGCTCCTGGCACACACACCTTGTTCCTGCACAGGGACTCCAGTCCCAAACCCATTCCCTCTGTCCCCCTCCAGTTCAAACAGCAGACCCACCCACTTGATTTTTATCGATGTAAAAATGAGACTCAGATTTTGCTTGAGGCTGTCTCTAGACTTTGTGTTGCTAGATGGGCAGCTTTAAAGCTGTTCTCTAGCACTTTCTATCAAAGGATGGTAAGGCACTGCACTTACCCTTCATTGCACATACAAACCCTTCCAAACTGAAAATTCAAATAGACAAGACCTGATTTAATGTTGAAGTTAGCCCTGCTCTGAGCAGGAAGTTGGACCAGGTGGCCTCCAAAGGTCTTTTCCAACCTGAATTAATCCGTGGTTCTATGATTCTAGCCTCTTGGGAAGGACAGGAGTAATAGCGCCTTATATACATGCAGAAAACTAGCATAGAAGTGGATGAAATGCCTTTTCCCACAGCACAAGCTGGACCAAAGACAGTCTAAGTTCCAGCTCCTCAATCCTAAACACTCCTTCCCTCTAAATGCAATGATTACCTTTACAAAGGTGAAGTTTATAAACCCTCCATTGAAAGTTATGTTCAGCTCAGACTGCACCGTCCCACAGCTCCCAGATGTCTGTGTCGCGTTGGGGTTGACAGCCATGTACTCCATCTGCTTCTGTGGAGAGAAGAGACATTGCAGGGCTGCTGATGAAGAGCAGGGGAAAACTTAATGAAACACGCAGATTTATGCTGCCTTTTTTTTTTTCTTTTCTTTTCCAGACAGGCTCTGGGTGACTGAATGAACAGGCCAGTTGTGGTGGCAGCCTAATGCTGTCTGCTGGGGTCACTCCCTGTTCATAAACCAGCACTAGCACTTGCCTGACACATCACTCAGCTGTTCCAGTGCGTTAAGTTGGCAGAAAATAATAGTTTTCTGCTCATTCACTGATCTGATATGATTCAGAGCAGGGTCAGATGAGCACAAGTGATAATTTAAAAAGATGGCTCGTGCCTGAAGGCAGAGGAAGGATCAAGACAGAAGCAGGCAGGGGTTAGACTGGCTTGAACATATGTGGCTCCTCGTATCACCCCGGCCTCCTTATTATGTCCTGCACTGTTCATCTCTAGCATCTGACAACCCACATTGTAGTCTGAAAGGAGAGCTCTGCAGCCCTGAATACAGTTTGGCTCCCTCAGTGTCATCTCAAACACACTCTACTTTTGTAATAAACATCTCACTGTGGTCTGGTGAGGTTGGGAATCATGCTCCCTGCCTGGCTTCCACCAGGACAAGGGATGAAAATTACTTCATTACTCATTCCACGTTAGAAATATTCAGACCCCAAACAAGAATATTTGGATTTGTAATGGGCATGGCTCGAGGCATATGAATTCCAGAGCCTGAGGATGTAACCCCACATATTGTATTAATGGAGGCTACAAAACCATAAGTCTGAGGGACATAATCACCACTTTGGGTTTTATGACATCTTTTGCTGAATCATTCACAGTGGATCACTGCTAGGAGAAGGCACCAGCTCCCCAGGACCCCTGCTTTGATCCAGTCTGGCAAGTCCTGTGATCCAAAAATCTCCATGTGTCAGCATCAAGACAACCCACCTCTGAATCCAAGTCTGTGAATTTACAATTTCTTGCTTTCATTGCAACTTGCAATGTCAAGCCCTTCACTGAAGTCAATTCAGATTTTAACTAGTCTTTCATTCTAGGAAACACAAATAACTCTGAAGGCTGATCTACTGCCCCAGTATTGCTACCACACGTACATCATTGAAATAAGAAAGCACCTGTATGTCCCACTGACATCATCAGACAAGCCGAAGTACAGAGCTGAGATGCCGTGGCACAGAAAAGGCCTCAGGCTGGTAGCAAACCCCTTATTTTTATCATACAAACTAACTTCTGAAAACTGCTTTGAAAGAAGAAGAATAAATTCCAGCTAATGAAGAAATAGTCATTACAAAGTTCAGCCTTATAGTGCTTCCACCTCACCTTCTGTGTATTTTGAGCCATCAGTTGCAATCCCATGACCGCCTTGATGCAGGTCCCATTCCCATTGGAAACGGTGTATGTGCCAGTGGGGATGGGAGAAGGTTGTGGTGCAGGAGTGGGTTTCACTGTCGTCGTAGTAGATGGGACAGTTGTTTGTGTCCCTGGATGAATGGTTGTTGTGTTGGTCATGGCTGTGGTTGTTGGACTTTTAGGTGCTGCTGTTTGATTTCCTGACCCTGTGGTGGTCTTCACAGTTTGCTTGGTGGTGGTTGTAGTAGTTAGGGCAGTTGCTGTCATTTGCGTATTTGGTGTTGTATCTTGCATGGTTGTACAGTTTGTGGCTGCTGCTGTCATTTCTGTGCTCACATGTGTTCTGGTTTGCATGGTTGAGGACATAGGGGCTATGGTTGTGTTCACTGCAGGTGTAACCGTTTCCATTGCCTGGGTTGTAGCCTGACCAGCTGTAGTTGTGTTGTCTGCTGATGCTGTGGATACTACTGTGGGAGATTTCTGGTTGGTAACTTGTGTGGTGGTTGCTTCTTCCTGGGATGTTGTGTGATGGTCTGATGTTGTTACCTGGTGCTGGTCTGTTGTCTGCTCAGCTGTTCTACGGCTTATGGGTGTTGTTTCAAGAGAGCCTGTGCTGTTAAAATGAACTGTGGTGTCTTGATGGGGTGAAGAATGATAAAGGGAAAGTGTCTGAGCAGAGGTAGCCGTATGGTGGAAGGATATGGTTTCTGGAGACAGTTCAACCCCCAGAGCCACTTCAGCAAAGCAGAAGGAAAATGCTGCAAAGAAACAAATAAGTTAGTAGTCTAGAAACCTTTACATTAATTTCTGTTGATACCGTCAACTTAACTGCACTGATTTTGTTATCAAATGGGTGATATGATTTTATTTTCATTTGGCTCTAGTCGTGATAGAAGATTGAAAGCAGACATGCTGTAGGACTACCCATAACTTTTCACCACTCCCCCAATCTTCACACCTCTGAATATACCCATTGCAGTGGAAGCATGTTGGCTCCTGGCTCCCCACATGCTGCTTTTACTGCTGAAGAAGCCAGAGGATGCTGGAGGCATGAGTAGATCTTGGACAATTCCCAAGCAGCACAAGAATTCCCTCGGAGGCAGTAGCACAGCAAGATTTGCTAGAAGCAAACTATCGCAGCTTAAGGAAGATGCAGTGGGTGTAACAGGTAAAGGGGTGGTTGGTTACTTACCAACAAAGCATGGGGAAGGGGAACATTTTGTGTGTGTGAAGGAAGTAAGGCAGCAAAATGGTCTTACAGTGACTCACAATAGTCTGGGAAACCAGTATGGGAGACAGGGAAATTCCAGATATTTATTTATGGTTTTGTTATAGCCACGCCAGCTTGAACCCTAAAGTTCTTCCTTCTGGGAGGTACCCAAGAGGATGATCCAAACAGGGAAAGACCAGCCATCTTAGTGATGCTCTTTCAGCAATGAAAAACAAATGTCAGGGTACAGCACCCAGGGGCTTTTTGGACCACATCTAAAAATAGCCAAGCTCCAAAATTTTACTTCTGTCTTATAACATTTACAGAAACATATCCCTTGAAGAACTGAAAAGAAAGTATCTGGCTCCTAAATGTAAATAACAAAGTGAAGAAAAAGTAGAAAAAGTACATTGTAGAACAGATGAAGGTCACAACTCTTCTGCTCAAGTCTTTGATTGTGAATATGACACAAGACTCTGTAAAGACAAGGTCACGCTAAAAGAAATCGTAAATCCCCAACATATATGTATTCCTTGATGTACCTGAAGCTTCAGGTGTTTTACTGCCTTTACTGCCTAAATTAGCTGGAGGACAGAGACGAATTCTCCAGTTTGGAGACAGAAGGGACCCAAAAGTCCAAGACAGCTCATATTCCTGGCAGTACAGCTCCACAGAGGATGCCACAACATGAAGTTTATTATAAGCTGGTTCTTCCAAAGAAATTTCTCATTAATTGGTGTCATAGGTTTGGGGCAGGCAGGTTGCTGAGATTTAGATTTTAGGATGGGTTGAGGTGAAAGGCACATTCAGGGTGGAATGGCTGAAATCTCACAAACTCATCTTCCTTTATTTATTTTCCCTCAGCATGAAGAGAGATCTGCAACAATAGCTGAAGTCACAAAATCTCACCATTTTAGGATACACATAGACTACATTAGAATAATAAAACATACTGGGTTTTGAATCAAATTCAAGATCAAAACCAAAAAAATGGAGAGAACAGACATATAGATCTGAACCCACACTTCAATTTTCACTTAAAATGGGTATGACAGAGAAGAGCAGAACTGGAGATGTGTATTCCATATTCCTAAAATCACCTGGGTGTCACCTCTGTGCTGTACAGAATATACTTGACTGCCAGTATAGCTGTTATCACCAAAGAAGTGTGACTTCATAAGTTGAAAAGCCACAAAAATGACAGGACAGGTCCCTCTGATTGTGGATTTTATCAGAAGGAACCTAAAAATGCCGTAATTAATACGGTACTAGTTCATGTTCTCACTTTCTGCTACCACACCTGCTGGCAGAGCAGAAAAGCAGATGGTACTAGTTCATGTTCTCACTTTCTGCTAGACTTTACCACACCTGCTGGCAGAGCAGAAAAGCAGATAACCTCTCCTGTGTGTGCCAGTGGAAAGTCAGAACAGTTGCCATGTACCAGCTATAGGTAGTTGCATCTAAGTGTGTTAGTGTGGTAAAAACAAAAAAGAAGAAGTTGCAATTTTCACTCTTTTCACTCTTTTTCCCCCTATAAGATTGCAAAATAACCCATATCTAAATTTACCCCAGTGTTAGTCAGTACTTCTTAGTTTTTAGTTAACAGATTGGTTTTGATTACTGACCATATAACGCTTATCTTACAGATGTGAAGAGAAACATTATTTCACTAACATTTGGATGCCATCCATAGCTTTTAAATTAAACTTCATTTTTCCCAACAGGTCATTTCAACTCATTTTTCACTAGAGAAATGTTCACCCTGGTAGGGTCACTGAGGGGTAAAGTCAGAAATGTCTTTGGGGTGGTCCATGGCTCGTACTCACCAGCTGACCTGCCAGACCACTCCTCCAGCCTCCCATGGCTCTCCCTAGCACTTTGGAGCTTCTGTTGGGGCACAGC